CTTGGACTCAGCTGCCTGAATCTCTTCCAGTATCCTTCTCCTTTCCATTCTTTTCTTGAAGGGCAAATATGCTTTTTGCTTTCTGATACTGTGTGGACACCAAGCAGCTTTTTTTCATACTTTTCAAGAGCCATTTCATTTTGCAGTTTTGTTTGCACACATCCATGTCACACACTTGCTGGGGTGTACAGAAAGCAGGATGGGAAGCAAGTTTAAATTGAGTTCACCTTTTTTATTTTTTTTTAAATATTTCTGGCCGTGGAGGATGAGTTTTCTGTGTTCAAGTGTTTGTTAAAATGCCATTTGTAGAGACCATGAAGAAGAGGAAAGAATAGGAGGGTTGATGAAAGCATTCAAGGAACCAGCTGCCTTATTCAGGTGAAGAGGAATTTCAGGAAAGAAATGCTTAACATTGTACTGGGCATAAAGTTAGAAAGTCTTTCTCTGTCCCTTAGTAATTAATAATTGGACTGGCTGGGGAGGCAGAGAAGTGCTGTGGTCCTCATTTCACTGTTAAGGGATCTACAGCTGCAAAAAATGGATGCAGATATGAGAGAGATATCTAACCATTTTAAATTTGTGTAGAAAAATGATAAAAGAGCTAGGCACCAAGTTAAATGTGGAATTAAGCAAAATAGTGATGAATTTTCTTTTCTACAGGTGCTTCTGCTTGTGCTGATTTTATTTGATCTCACACATTTTTTTAAAAATAGTTTTTAATAAATAATACAAGTGGTGTCTTGTCCTTTACACTTGACTGAAAAGCAGCCTTATTTTTCATGTAGAGCTTTTGCCTGAAAATTGTCACTACAATGTCTTCTGGCAAATGAGAGAGAGATTTGGGGATGGTAAAAGACAAATCTGTGTATGGATTAAAACAGAGAAGATTTCCAGCCTCCCCATAGGGCTCTTAATCTTAAACAGTAAAAGCCAGATGAGATTAAAAGGAATTATATAGCAAATAGAGTTAATTCTTTTATCTAATACAAAAGGATGGGAAAATTTTAGACACAGATAAATAGTTTAGTTAAAATGATTAAAAATAAGCATTTTATTTATACATATATATGTTTTATTTTCTACAATGCATGTTAAGATGGAGTCTCCCGGGAACCTCTTAAAGTTCAAGATTCAAAGTAAAAAACTGACTGAAAATCCAGCTTTGATCATGGTTATTAAAACAGATACCAAGAACTCAATTGGTCCTTGTAGTTGTCTGTGTAAGAAGATGAACTGTCATAAACTGGAGAAAATATGATAACATTTCCTTCTGCTGCAGCTTGTATTTGCAAAGCATTATAGACAAGTGGGTTCAACGTGACCAAGATCCACTAAAATACTTACATTATATGTTAGGTGTAATTTTTTTGTGTGAAATCATGATAGATTGTAACAATCTAGAGAGAATCCTTATACCCCCTTTTCCATGAAAAGGACAGGCATAAATGTGGCAGTTGCTTTGTCAGACATGAGATTTTACAAACGCAGCATCTCCTCTAATTTCATTCTCTATACAACCACAGCCACACACATGCAGGTACACACATCACACTTTCCTTCAAAGGGCCTTTCTTCAGTCCTGCCCAACATTTTCCTTCTATATATTTCAATGTATTTGTTTAATTTTACTGCCAGCAAGTAATACTACTTCTGGAAGATACACAAATCTATCCAGAGTAGGGATGGAGTTGTACTGTCTAAAAGGGAGTTGTGATGGATGAGACTGATGAATATGGAATGAGACTCTTGGGACAATCCTTTAAGAGCTTCTCTTTGGGTACACCCACACACCAGTGCATCAAGCAGAAAGAAGAGTGTCCATGGAGCATCATTCTGCTGTTGGAGCTTGAAGTGCTGGGCAGGGAAAGTGGAGTTTCCTCAAGCCCCAGTTCAGATTCAGCAGGGATTACAGGAGGCTGGGCACTCTCTCCAAAAGACACGTCCTCAGTGGGACCGTGTGGCTGCAGCTACACCTCTGAAACCTGCCCAGAGACATTTTCATATACAACATATGATGTGCTGGCCCAAATCTTGGAAGTTTTACCAAGCATCTGCTCAGGCTTCCCAACAGGGAAGTCGTGCTTACACGGGAAGGTGCTGGGCAGAGTCCGCTGTGAGATTAATGAGGGTAAGTGGAGGTTTAACAGAAATGACAAAAAGAAGTATCAAATGAAATCTTCTCCAGGTCTCTCCTGTCTGCAGAGTGTAGCTCAAATCCCTCAGCCACATAAGAAACAAATATAAATTCTTTCTAGGTCATTTTATTGTTGAAGATTAACTTGAGATCAGAGACTCGCATCATGCTGTGCCCATGCCTCTGTATTTTGCAATATAGTTATTGGTACAGATTTTTGAGGACTAAATTGTCAAAATAGCTCTGTAGTTTTGTGAAATCTAATAATTTTGTACAGATTACAGTACCTCTGTGTTTGAAATGGATTTTTAAATTCCTATTGCTGAGACTGCATCTTTAGTTGTTCCCTGATTGTTTGTAGATATTGTGAATGCCTTTGGATCATGCCAGAGTGATAATGACTTTGAGCATGGAAATGGATTTGCAGCTGGATTTCCAGGAGAGCCTTCCACACAGGGTAATAGCTCACATATTGAAATGTGCTCACCAAAGAGGTGTTAGGGAAGCAGTAAAGAGCAGTAAAGAGAACCCAGAAATGGGGATTAGAAACAAGAGCAGGTAAAATGAATCTAATCTCTCACAGAAGTTCTGGTAAAAATCAAACCCCATTGTTTTCATCGTTAATTATATGCCAGGGTCTGCAGCCATTGCTGAAGGTACCCATTACCTTGTTCCCAGTGCAATTCCACATATATTGCAGTGTGTGTCAAAGAAACATGGACAATTGTTCTTCCCAGGCTAAGATGCTGCTTAACACAAGTGTGAGAAATGTTGAGCCTTTATTGATTAGGATTCTGAGTTCTTTCAGCCTAAGCAGAAATAGCCAATATGCTGAAAGGCAGCAGTAGATTTTATTTGCAAAAAGAACAGCGTGAAAGGATCTGTGCTGCAGAGATGTCTTGTTTTTGTTACTGTTGCTGTGGAGCTGAAAGCCCATCTGTCCTTCTTATTATGTTAAATTCATTCTGGAGTCACTTAACTGAAGTATCCTTAACCTAGTGCTTCTGCAAACTAGTACATCCAGAAAGAAAACAGTTATTAAAACAAACATCTCATTATCATCAGCCTAATGCAGTACCATTGTGAGTAATCAATGAGGTCTCTGGCAATCGTGAGAATTATACAATATAATCGAGTTATTTATAAAAAAATTGCTGAAGAGTTCATGACTTTCCCCAGTTAAACATTTTTTTCTTTCTTTTGTACAGCTTGCTGGTCTTGCTCTGGGTTTTCAACACATTATAGTTTCTTTTTATCCTGTCATAACTTTAGAATAGAAATCTATTAAGGTAAGCACAGGTTTATAAAAGATCATGAAGTCACATAACAGAATCACTTTGTGTTCCTTAAGCTTTAAAAACATCTCTTGAGGTAAGAATTTTATGCTATCTTCCAAAATGAAATAGAGGCAGAAAAGATACAGCACAAAATTTTTTTATGTGTTGCTTCCACCTCATGCTGACAGTTTATATTTTGCCCCTTTTTCTTTAGTCTCTTAGCCAGCCATGCAGTAAAATGGGTTTGAATCCCCTGCACACTCATTACAGAGAGCATGTAAGAGTCAGGGAAATGCTGAAGCCTCAGCTCTGAGTAAATAAATATAGGAATAAGAAGCCTCCAGGAGATACAATAAAGGCATACAAATGCCTTTGCTTTGCAAGCCTGTGCCACCCTCCCCATTTTTCCCTTCTCTTCCACTGCTCTTTACCCACAGACAGAAGTCCTGGCAGAAAGTGGTGGTTCCTCTTCTCAGATATTTCCACCTTAGCTTAAATTGGTGATGAGGGTGGTGTAAAAAAGCCCTTGCAGATTTTATCCAAAAATGAATGAAAGAATATTCATGTTCTTAGTTTCCGGAGTGATCTCTACCAGGGGGGTGTTGGTAATCATCTGGAAGTAGTAAAGTTATTAACCACATCAAACACTGGGTGCTTGCCCACTCCTACCTGGAAAGGGAAGGGATGTACATGCAGCTGTGATCTTGCCCTCTAGATTGTTTGACAGTCTAGAAGAACACAAATGCACTGGATATCTTTACATTTGTCACAAATATTTTCTTCTGTCCATCAGATGCTCTGGCAAATATTTGGACCCCCAAAATAAGATGGTCGTGAAAATTCAGCCCAGGTTTGCATCAGCACAACTCAGTTGTGAGACCATTGATATCAGGGGTTATATTTTTTAGGAAACAATAGGCTTGTCTCTTTTTCTGTGGGCACAAGATTTGCAGTGCTGTGCTCTGGTTCAAGATTGAGAAGTTAGAAGACACACAAGCCACCAGTGTGAAAATGGAAGGAATCAAATTCAGAGATCCTATTCTGTGCCAAGAAAAATATCCAGACAGTAGCAGCTGAAGCTTGTGTGTTTATCAGGAAGCTGAATCTGTAGGTGAGCTGACTCCGAGCTGCACAGAAGTTGGGGAGCTTTTCTGTTGACTGACAGCAATGAGCTGAGGACACCTCAGAAGTCAGGTGGGAAGAAAACTGCTCTCTGCAGGCTCAGTGGTCCTGACACTACTAAGAGAGCACTAAGAGAGCACACGTGTGTCTGTGGGAGGAGGATGGGAGGGTTAAAACATGGTCATGACTGCTATAAAACAGAAGTCAGACCCAGAGTCCCCCAGGTCTCCACCCAGCCTGAGGCTTGCAGGAGATGCTGCCTTGCACCTTTTTTAACACATGGGGGTGATGATGGAGGAAGGGTCTTGCCAGTTCTTTTCCCCCTCATTTGAAAAGCTGTACTGCTGTGTTTCATTTTACTTAGTGCAAAAGTGGCAGAAGGAGGGAGGCAGAAGAAAAGCATCTATATCAGACACAACAGAAGGAAATATGGGAGGAGGGTGGGGAGGTGGGCTGGTGGTGTCTGGTTTATGGCCCTTCTGTGCCATCTGAATGGTACAAAAGGCTAAAAAACAGCCTGAGCATCTGTGTTACTCTCTGCACCACTATGGTAATGAAAATCCACAAATGCTTAAAGGAATAAACAACATTCCAAGTTTCCTGAGGTTATATAAAAGAAATATTTATTCTATCTGAAAAAGACTATGCAGAGAAGTATTGGAGTTTAAGAAAAAAAAAAGTCATAATGTGTTCACAATGTGAGGGAGAAGAGCAGCACAGCAAGCAACCTTAACTAGGCTGTTTCCAAACTTTTGACTGCCTAACCATGCAGCCTTAATGCTCTGTTACCATATTTGTCATGCACACAGAATTATATAGATATATATAATACCAACTGTCTGGCTAGATATAGATATCTTATTTTTATTGGAATTTTATCCTCAGCCTCCTCTCTGCTTCTCTTTTCACAGTTTTTCTTAAGCAGAATGTGAAACTAATACTTTCAAATTTCAGCTGCACTTTTGAACTCGTGATATTTGAAAGCAATTTTTTTCTCATCACAACCTGAAACTGATATGTTGTTACACAGGAAATGTTGCACATCTCAAAACTCTCCACTCACAGAAGAGGCAGAATGTATCCTTTTGAAGGTGTGGGATGCATGTGAAAAAGTATCAAGATTACTCGGCTCCTTGGAAATTATCACTGCAACTCTTCTCTGCCTCTCTTTTTTCTTTCCACAAGTGCCAAAATTGTCTCCTAAAAATGCTTAAAATTCATCTTCTGTCATGTAGATGCTGGAGTTTATTTTGAAATGCAAGCTTGTCTGAGAAAGCTGTATTATGCACGGGTTTATGATACATAAAAGTATCAACATAAAGTAAATCCAAACTCAGGTCCACATTTAGATCTAAGAAAGGAATTAGTAAAGCACTTAAATGATCCCCCAAGGTTAAATCCTACCTGCCCAATGAAAGCCAGTGACACTGGAGCCCTCCAAGGTCTGTGATGACCAAAGGATCTTAGCACCCAAGTAGTCTCAAAGATTTAGGTACCTAAATCTGAAATCTATAGACGGACAATTTCTTCCTATTTTATTACAAAGGAATTTGATTTTGGTGGCAAAGAGAAGGGACAGAAAATGAAGCGTCCTCTTGCCTAGCGAGGTCCATGTCTTGAAAATGTGTCAGTTAAACAATCTTCAAAGCAAGGAGACTCCTGATCCAAAAGGAATATCAGGAGAGAGATTGCTTTTTGTCACTTCTGAGCAGGATCAGATGCACGATAGGAACACCAGGGAAATTTCTGGTGAACATCCAAGTATCTTTATCCTTTTGGATGCCAGCGAGGTTAAGAAAGGGTTTTGTGGTTTTGGATTGAATGACTAAATCTCACATAAAACCTACCCAGGATATCTAACTGCTTCTGCTGAATTGATTTTGGTTCCTACTGTTTTTTCCTGATTACTTTTACATATATATATATATTTATTCCTTACACGTATGCATTTTAACCCATAACTGCTGCTGTGTTATGTGGCAAATCCAATTTTGATAAAGGTGAGACCAAACTCCTAATTTCTCTTCAGTCCTAGAGTTCTGTAACTCTGGATAGGAAACATTTGTCATGCATAGAAGTGTTGATTCCATCTCCAGTAATCACCCACCCATCTAATCCATCATACTCGATCAGATTATATGTAAATCTGATTATCTCACATAAGAATGTAAAGGGGTTTCTTACTCCCTTTGGTAAACACATCAGTCCAATAAGCTGGACATTAACAGAAGGAAGCTTTGCACTTTATGGGGGAGAATCAATAATCCTAAGGATATGCTGATTATAAGTGCTCACAACCACCAGGAAGGCTGTAGGCAGTTTATGAGAGAAATTCTTCATCTCTTAAACTGGTCAGACTTGCAGATTTGCTTGGTTAGCTGATCATGCTTTCTTCAGCAGACCTATCTGCTTAATGCAACAGCTCAATAACGCAGCATTAATTATAATTAGCAAATTGCTTGTACACCTACAGCTCTATCATATTGTTGCTGTAGCCAGGGTTAGGAAATTGTCTGAAGAAAATAAATTTGAAGCAACTCAAGCACAGGTAAATAGCCTGTTATTATCCATGAACCATTGTCATTATGGTCATTTCTGAAAAATCATGTGTTTCCCATGGTTCATTAAATCTGTTTTACTGCCTGGATAAATGAGCTACTTTGAGGTGTCAGCAACAACCCCAAGCAGGAGGCTTTATTCTGCTGAGAAAGATGGCAATCAGCAGCAAGAAAGGCAATCCTGAAAACATCTTATACAAAATTCATGGGTTTATTAATTCATAATGTTAAATGGTTTTGGCAGCTAACTAGTCACAGAATTTCATCAAAATGTGCACTTATAAACAAAGGGAAAGCAATAGCTTTTCTTCAGCAACTTTGCTCTGATACTTTTAGTCCTTCAGGTAAAAAAAAAGAAAAAGTAACAGTCTCAATATGGAAATTTTCTATTTCAGCAAACCAGATTATCAGAAAATACCTTCAAAATGGCCAGTGTGAGGCTTCCACCAAGATTTATCAACAAATGAGGCAGAAAACACCCACATTATGGAACCAGAAAAAGGTAAGAAAGGAGAAGAGGAGGAGACAATGTGCCCATTCCAGCCAGGGATTTGTTCTGCCCACAAACAGATTTTAGAGCAGGCCAGGCTGGTTAACATGACTTTAGTTCCTCAGCAGGCACTTACACGGTGGCACATGGAATTTATTTCATGTGAAACCATTACAGGAATGCTGTGAAGAGGGAGAGCAGAAACAAAGGCTGACACTGGTGCCTGTGCTGTGGTTTGAAGAGGAACACCCTAGAAACAAGAGAGGAAGGGGAATTACACCTTCCATTAGAGCTTCCAAACAAGCCAGACTCACAGCTCCTGGAGGGAAGGGCAGGACAGGTGCTGGGAGAGGAAGAAAGCAGGGAAGAGTCTGAAAGAGTGGGTACTGGAGAATTTCTGAAGGGAGCAAGAGCAGGGCAGATGTACAGCAAGCCTCAGAAATGGCAGAAATTGGCCTTGAGGACTCCAAAGAAAAGTCAGGGGAGGGAACACTTTATCTCAAACACAGAAACACTGGAAGTTGCTAAAAATTTGAAAGATAGCCTGGAGAAAAGGACTCATCCTTCTCAAGAGGGACATTTGTTTTTCAATCAGCTTTTCATGCGATTTATTCCTCACATTTTAGGCTCTGAATTTTTCTTGCTTAGCCTGCTATCTTGCTTTACTGTGTGTGATGTGTTCTGAATTTTTTCCCCCCCAAATGAATTCTAATTTAAAAAGCTATAAAAATATTAACTTCAGATCAATGGGAAAGGTTTGGTTTTTATTTCAAGGCCCTCCTGGTGCAGGTTTTGTGAGCAGGTAACTCTACACCACCAGTTGTAGCTGTCAGTACTGACAAACCCCACAAAAGTAGAGGATAGGTAAAGAATAATGTTGAATTACTCTAGGAGGGCTGAGCAGGGATAAGGAGAGGAAGCTGTTCCCCCCTTCTTCTCTCTAAAATCTGCAAGCAGATATGTGCTTATAAACAGACATGTAGCTAAGTGATACTGCCTAGCCTCTTGCATCTTTCACAGACAAAAATCCAGCTGGCCTTGGACATGTGCATGCAGTAGAAAACTGATGATGAGGAGACAAGGAATCAGTTGCTAGAAATCAATGAATGACAGCCCTAAAAGCTGTCTGAGGCTTTCTTGAAGGTGTGCAGTGAAAAGATTCCTGTTGATGTGTATCCACATTACATGGTGGCCTTTTGTGCCCTTCCCCAGCAAAGCAGAAACCTCCCTGTGACCCAACCCTGCCTATGGGGCAGCCTGTCCTCCAAACCAGCCACACTCAGGATATTGAACACACCATTTTTTTCCCCCCAGTGCAACAGGGTACATGTGGAATATTAGATTGGTTTCCAGCCACCTGCCAGAATCTGATGGCAGGAAATTTGCACGGCTCTGGCTGTGGCCAAGTGATAGATAGTAAGTGAGAGGTGCCTTTGTTGGAATTATCACTATCAGATTTTCTAATGCAGCCCCCTTGTAATGAGATCATGCACATTGCTCAAGCTTCAATCAGAACTTCTACTGAAGGAACAAGCCTGAATAATAATAAAAGCGGAAAGCATTTTAAGTAAATAGAATTTCCCAGATACTGCATAATGGTGTTTGTTATTGCTATCTTTTATGAGCCTCAAGAAATATTTTGTATAAGAATGATTTCCTTCAATATAAGCTGTTATCATGGAGGTCTCCTATGTCAATTCTTATTTAAAATATATTTCCTTACAGTCCCAACATTATGAAAGCATAAATTAATGCGACCTCTTTGCTTCCATTTCATGTTCTTATAAAACGTGCTGCGTTGTACAAAGGTAGCCTAACCCACTCCAAATAATAAGATCCATTTTGGCTGTAAAAATTTATTCTATGTACATCTTCCTGAGCCTCTGAAAAGCCAAGGTCTTTCAGTGAGGACTGCAGGGAGTGTTTTTTTCCTAAGCTTGAGTGCTAAGACGCTTGGAGCCGATATCCCGCTCCGCTCTCCTGATGGAAAACCTCCACGAGCCTCAGCAAGCTGCTCCTCTTGAAGAGTTTGTGGGAGCACAACCAGGGATCCTGACAGAGCAGGCAGGCAGTGCAACAACAGCACCCCAGCAACTGCAGAAGGGAGGGCAGACTAATTTCAGGAGCTACAGTAATACATTATTTCCCTCTTGCCTAAAGCTTGCCATTGGCAAAAGGACAAAGCCAAAACAAACTCCTACAGTGTGCACATTCCTGCTTAACATTTCCCTGTTAATGCCATTTTTCTGTTTTGCACAGTTTGCTTTTTGTTTTAGTATGTATTTATTATTGCTGGCAGCAGATAAAAATGTTTTCATTATTTCATTACATGAAGTTCTGACCACTGGATCTCCATACTCTGTTTTCTGTTAGTGTAAAAGAGATGTATGATTTCAAAATTTCTTCCTTAAGTAGTTAAAATCTTGTTTACAGGCAAAGAGGAAACATGCCTTATAAATAAAGTCAAAATTTATCATTAGTACAATTGAAATCCTAAGAGCCTCATCCAAGAATTGTTTTTATTCCATATAAAATTGTTATGGAAAGAGAAATACTAAGTCTGTGCAGAAAATATTCAGTAATAAAATAATAATGCAGTTAATTTTTTACATGTGCACTTAGTTTCTACCTTTTTTCATTACGTTCTGCTCACCCTTCTGGTGTTCCTCTTACCCCTTGGGTTGGGGGTTTCTTTCTCATGGAGTGTTGTTGTCAGCACCCAAAGTCCTTTGCCAGGAGGAATACAATGTTCACTTTGAAGTATTCTTCATTCTCTGTCTTGGATTCTTTTGGGGGGTCACTTCTATATGTCTGCTAACATGATTTTACAGCCAGGCTTTATTTCATTAATCTGCACCTTTGAGTTCCAGCCATTTTTAAAGGTGGATTTGCATGTGCTGGATACTCTTTGTTTGCTTGCTTATCCTAAAAAGCTGAGAAGACCAGCTCCAGGTCTGCATTCCTTTAGCTGTGGGGCCTTTGGTGTCAAGTCTGACTTCCATATTTCATAACCTCAAGCCTCTACCCCTCCACTGAACTCTGTGTCTCTCTTATCCACGCTCACCAGTACTGGTGAAAACCACGGTGGCACCACAGAAAGATGAACAAAAGTTAAAAAATCAGCCAGAAAGTCCTAAAGAGTTGGAGAAACTGCTGTCACAACCCAAAACAACTGAAAAAAGGCTGCAGGCAGGTCAAGAAAAGTTCAGACAGAGAAAGTCCTGACACTTTGCAGATTCAGTGCAAAGTTTATGGTCACAGCAATACAGTATTGCAGATAAATATAATGACAGCATGTTCTTACACAATATCTTGTCACTTTTCTTAGAGACATGAAGCAGATTTACCTTCTTTATGTTTTTATTGTAAAACATGAATTTCACTCCCCAAATAATTCTACAGTTCTTATACTTTGTTTTGTGATCTTCAGGAAAATGACAATGATAACGAAATAGTTGTATAATGTAACATGCACAGCTTGGTGAAGTATATCATAAGGGACAAGGTGCTAAATTTCCTGGTTGTCACCTTTCCAGACAGTGTTTCTCACTATTTTAACTTCCAGCATTTTTAATTCTATGATCCAATATGGCTCAAAACAAACTTAGAAGATGTAACATGTAAAGAAATTAAAGAAGCTGATAGGGGCTGAGCCTTGTATAAGCAAAGGCAACAACTGGTGAGACTATTCTGTACACTTTACTTTAAAAATCAGAAAATGCTCAGAGCCCATCACTGGATTATCCAGCACATGTCCACCACAATTAGATTTAATGAAAATTCATACTTTTATTTCCTAAAGAATGGCATTTGAAATCATGGTATCTATATTAATCCATTGGTTTAATCTGTTTCCTCTATCTTCTAGAAAGTTTTTGGACTATTTTCCATACTTTGTCTATTTCAAAACAGGGCAACTCATCCCAGAAGCTACTGATTTCTTACTGAGGAAACATGGGTTCAATCCTTATAAAACACAAGAAAATCACCTCAAATACAAGAAAAATCCAGACACAACTCTGCATCTCTCTGGTCTTTGCTGGGCTGCTTCTCAGGGAACAGCTTGCTGGCCAGGTAATGGATTGCTGGGCAGAGTTTTTGGTGCTAATCATGATAACAACCCTTATCCAAAAAAATGTACCAGGAAAGACAGTGCAAAGCCATGAAGTAGCTGGTGGATTTTTCAGTCATAAGTATGCCTTCTGTTTCCTTGGGTTTTTTGCTTCCATCTAATTTCCACTAATTTTTTTTAATTATCAGATTTCATATTGAAAAGTACTTCTGTTCTCTGTGGCAGATGCACAGATATCTTACCATCAAATACTGTATTGGTAATCTGTTCTGAGTGAAGAAAACCAGTTCTTACTCTGTTGTTTCTTTTCTACTTCAACAAGTTCTAGATAGGCAGGCAGGGGGAAAGGACAATACTGCAAGATGCTGCCAACATGTACAGTGAGCAGCAGCTTCTGTTCTGATAAATTTATGATTATCCACTCCATTTATCTCAATGAGAAGTGAACTTTTAAATTTGCATGGCCCATTAGGGCCTCAAGTGAGCAAGGCATTTAAGCATGTGCTTAAATCCATCTGTATTCAGGAAACCAATTAAGTACATGCTTAATTTTAATGATGGATCCTGTGCTGAGGGCTATAAAGCTAAACTGCCTTTAAACTTGGACAAAGTCCCCTTTCTCTTTATTTAGAAAGAAAACAAGGAAGTTCAATGCAAGAGGTGGTTTTAGTGCAAAACCAGGCTTTTCAATGTCAGCTGTCAGGAATGGAAACAGTGAGGATGAGCTGTAATAACTTTAACCTGGAACAAGTAGGGTTAATTCACAGAAGCTAGCTCTGCCTAATGAGTCAGGGCAGTTCTGAGTGGCAACACCAGGCTTCTGCCTCTTCTCTGACTACAGAGGCAGCCTGGGGAGACCAGCACAACTAAGAGTGGAGCCAGCAGTCGTTCTGTATTTGTGCTACCAGGCCTAGAATTCCACATCCTCCCACAGGAGACACTATAAAAGTACAAAGCAAATTAGCTAATGAAACATTTCTTCTCCTGTGCATTCTCATCTGCAGCTTTAATCATTCCATTAACAGTGTCATAGATGCCTTCATTTTGTTTCCTGAGCGCTGCTATCAACAGGACCGACCAAAGCTATGAGATATGTATGATGCCTATTGATGTCACAATTAAAGGTTTCTGAGGAAACAGTGCTGCAACATAGTTCACTAATTGCTCATCATTGAATTGACTATGACATTTCATAATGCATTCTATTTCACCCTCTTCACCAAACTATGCAGGGCAGCTAAGTACTTTGAAAGCTTTGAGGAGGTATTTCTATTTATGAGGGCAAAGGCAATATGTAGACATCCCTTTATAAAGTAGATCTGAATCAGCATTAAAAAAACCTGTTAGAAGTAAAGCAGCAGCTTATTAAAAAGGACTTTAGTGACAGATGATTTTAGCAAAGCCACCAATATTTGAAATTACTGGGAAGTACCCAGCAACACCACAAAATTACATGAGGAGACAAATACCACAGCCTATCTCTGCAGGTGAGAGAAGTAGCAGGCCAAGGCTGGCCTATCCCTGAAGGACTAATTTTGAGCTGTATTAACTGCTTAATCCATGGAGTTCAGTTTAACACCATTAGAAAAAGCAGAGGACACGTTTAACAAGTGAACAGACAAAAAAAAATACCTCAAAGCTCCAGCTCAGCTTGTACTACTCAATATAGCTGTTAAAGCAACACTGGCCTGGGGCACATGAAAAGTGGTAGAACAAGAAGATAAAGAGGTCAGCAACATATTTACAGATACTAACATTATATTTCTGGAAAGTATTTTGTGTTCCCTTCACAAATATACACATTGGCAAAAAGGTAAAGATTAATTTCAGAGCAGTGCATTGATGGGTTGATTTTTTTTTTTTAGGAGACAACTACAGTAAGAAGGACATTTTTAGTAGCACTTGTGCCCGAAATTCTGCAGCATGTGGATGTGCAATGGCAGGAAAATTCATCCTTACTTTGCCCCTCCCCTGCCTCTTTGTTAACTTTTCCATTTGGTACTCAGATTCCCTCTCATTTTCCCAACCACCAAGTAAATTGATCCAGACCTACATGCATGCTTTACTCTCCTCACAAGTGTTTCATGTCCTTGGCAGCAAGAGCTTGTGATGGCAGCCAGTGTGAGACCCTGTGTGCACTGGGGTCTTCAATTATCCCCCAGGAACCAGGAGAGCTCTCACAATTCCTTTTTTTTTTTTTTTTTTCCAGTCTTCAAGATTTTGCTGGATTTGCAACGTGGCAATTATTCCCAGGGAAATGTAAGAGATCTCTCATGTTCCCCTTGGTGAGAGATAGTTAAATATTTGCTGGGTCACAGGAAGCAAATGTGTTGCATTTCTCTTAAATTAACCCAAGGTGAAGAGAGCCAGAAAAGAAAGAGAAGGTCCCTCATTTCCAAGGGTGTTTATCCAATGTTGGCTTATTCCAAAGCAGAGAAAACACTGCTTCAGTCCTGGGAGCAGCTCCCACTTTCCTGTCTGTTGGGTGACTGCCCACACAACAAGGCTGCTGTGTGAAAAGGGGGCCCACCTCATCCTTTGGCCACCTTTTAAAAGAAGACAACCTGTTGCCTCTGTATACTCTACATGTCCTCCAAAAACCCACGGATCAGTCCTCATTTGGAGGGAGGTTTTGTTTCTAGGCCCCAGCTGTCATGAGCTTTACTTTGAACCTTTGAGAGATGCAGCAACTCTTTATATACCTACAGAGATGTGAGAAAGTTGCCAGTGGGGTTTGGGCAGGGCCAGAATTAGGATGCTAATCGGTGGGTTTGCTCCAGGGGATCAGGATGTGGGTTTGGATAATGTCCCTAAGCTTGCACGCAGGCAGGAGTTGTGTGACAGAGTTCTCATCAGCATTTCTCACTGCAGGAGCCCTCAGCCTTTGCCACAGAATCCCAGCTTTTTTCTTTATGCCTTTTATATGTTTCTGAAAGCATCCTAAAAACATATGCTTTTAATCTCCTTTGAGTCATCAAAGAGTTTAAAACAACACTCCTGAGAGCCTGGGGACAGAAGTGATGCTGTGCCACCATGAAATCTGACATTTTGCTAAGGTACCACATGAGTCAGTGTTTTACTGCAGATTTAATTATTTTTGCTGCTATCAGAAGTCTGAAGGCATTAACTTTTCAGAGCCCATTCTATAGTGAGGCTGGATATGGCTGATCTTGCTCTGCATTCTTCCCTGCAAAGGAGGAATAATACATTGGTGGGGGGGGGGATAGGAAAACCAAAGCTGTGTCACTGAGCCTAGGAAAAAAGGAGAGACCACAGAAAGCAGAAATATCTTTCTACCAATCCTATTTGGGTTTTGGTGAGAGGGACAATAGCTTGACAAGCAGAGGAGAAAATGCTCCCTAGCATCTGCTGTGACTGTGGGATAGTGAGAACACAGGAAAACCTTGTGTATCCTTTCCCTCTGCCCTGTGTGTCCACACCCATTCAGCACTCAGATTCTGTTGCAGCTCTGTCTTCACTGCATGCACTTTGTTCCTTTGATCCTGGTGGACTTCTGTTCTTTCAATGACTTTTTTTCCTTGGATAATAAAAAGCCCACATGTTTCTACGAGTCAGATTTTATGCATACCACTTCAGGACAGGGGCTAAATAATATCTTCAACATGAAAAGGAAAGTTTGATCCTGATAAAGTCATCCAGTGGACAAATGACCTCAGAGATGTGCCCAGGAACGTGCTGGATCTGCAGCCATTGGAAAGTGTGTGGGTGCCATGGGCTGCTATTAAATTGTGCTGCTGTGTTAAACTGCACTGGTGTTCACCACCTGTAGAGCTGCTCCGAGGTCAGGATGGAAGAATCAGGGCAATAATTAGACATTCTGGTTTTTCAATTAGAAACCACACAGTAATGAAAAGCTTTTTAGAAGATTGCATACTGTATTATTGGGTTGGGTTTTTTAATTGGCTCTTGAAATGAATTCTGCTTAAGCGACTAACTGGACAGTCACTATTCAGCTTGGGAAGTGCAAACAGGCTGGGGTAACCAAAGCAAAAAGGACTGAATTCATTTTCATATTAATAAGAGAGTTCATCCTAGAGAGAAAAGGTTAATTTGCTTTTCAGTGAGTTTATGGAGAAAGTGCTTGTGGTCAGGGTGATAATTTATAGCTAAATCACACATTTAAAGGCAAAAGTGATTACAGAAAAGCTAGGAACAGCATTTTCAGTGTTATGCAATGGAACTGTCAACAATGTTTTCTGTGCTTTCTTCTTCCCCACGCACAAGGATTTGAGAAAGAAGCCAGCACAACAGCACTGTTATATGTGGCCTTATTTTTCCTCTGCACATCAGATATCCTAACAAATGCAGAAGCAGAGACAGTGTTGCCTCTCCCAGCTTTAATGCTGCTCATATTTATGGTAGCTCTCCTCAAATACACATGGCTTTTGCTGGGCTTGGCTTCCCCACAAAGTTGCTGTCTGTAGGTACTGAATTTTTAATTTATTTTTTGTTTTTTGTGAATTTTTAGACATGCAAGTAAAACTATTTATACATAGCATGGTGACTTGACGTAGATAAAATTGTTTCAAATATGGGCTGGAGTTTCTTTCTTTAATTTTAGCCAAGAAGAATCTGTGATATTTAAGAACTGAGTATGAGATGGGCTAACTTGTTTCTTTGATGTGTCTAGGTTTAGGAGTTGAAATTCTGGATCATCACCTCCAAGGGTAAATATGAATAACAATGGTAACTGTGCTGATGATTTAAGAAGTGATGTAAAAAGTATGACTTGAGGAGCAGTGACAGCAGCTCGTCCATCCTACCTCTGATGCTTTATTAAAGGCTTAAGCAAACATACAAACCTAGACAAGCTCAGCAAACAATTACCCAGCAAAGCCTGACTTCTGGAATTTTTTTAATAAAAGTTGCTAAAACAGCACCTTTAGAACTGTGGGGTTTGCTACACCTGATGTAGTTTGCATGGCAATGGAATGGAAAGTCAGGGAAACATCCAAAAGGCCACACTTTAAATTTGTGCCCCTTCTTGTGTGAGAGTCTGAATTTGCAGGGTTCAAACTACTTGGAAGGAAACTTTTTGTTGTAGCTGTTCTGTGTTATCCTGGTCCATGGCTGAGGCTCATGGGCTGCTTCTCTCTGGTCTCTGCCCCTGTGTGGGAGGTCAGAGCATGGTTCTACTGCTCCATCTCATTGGCTTAACCTTTCTCCCCCATCTCTTAGCTCTGCCACCGTGCTGGATAGATCATTCACCTGGTCACATCTTCTACAGCTTTCATCTCTCCTACTGTCCAACACCACTGCCAGGTTCTGGCATTCCCTGCAGTCCGAGAATTTGGCATCTGCATATTTTCCTGAGGGCTCCATCTGTGAGGTTATCTGAGTCTGGTTATATGGGACTGCTTCAGAATCAAACCACTTTAAACTCATCTTGCAGTACAGAAACATCCCTGATGCTCCTGAAGAAATGAGAAAGAGGAAAGAAAGCAGATATGCACTTTATAAACACTCTTGGATGACGTGTACAAAAGTGCATACAGGGATTTTCACAGGCTATAGAAAAGAGAGTTCAAACTGACCAAGAAATAGATAAAACCAGTAATCTTCAGGATGCTATCTGCAGTAAAGATTATGTATTGCAGATTACAATCTATGCTAAAAAGGGTATCTTCTTTGCTATGGCAAAAGAACGGTTGAACCTTCCACATTTCCAAGCTCACATGTGGGCACGATAAAATCTTAACAACATGCCATTAAATATGCCTTTACAACATCTATTCTGCCTTGGCTAGATATATCTGTGAATCCTCCCTTTGCACTGCAGATTAAATAAACTCCCTGGACAGCTGAGAAGAATTAAAGTATGACCTGATAGTTTCTCTGCTTGACAATAATATTGTCTGTCAGTTTGTGCTGTATCCAAGATACTGTTCTCTGGTCCATGCTCAGAAAACAGATATTGATGGGTTTAGCTGATTAGCATCTCTGTATCATTTGGCCTTTCAGTCTCAAAATGCATTTTACAAAATGTTGCAGCAAGTGCTTTCTAGACTATGCACAGTGGTGCTCAATGCAAATATTTCCATGTTTTCCCTAGCTAAAGCCTTGAAACTTTTTTCAGTCTTAAACAGCAGCGCTGTCAAGTTTGGCCACTGGAGCCCAACATTTTGACTGAGACAGGGTTTCCACCCTGTAAGAAGATGTGGGAAGATTGTTTGGCCATTCCAAGCCTCTCTTACAGGACAGAACATCAGCTTCTAGCTGGTCTAAATGCAGATATGCTGATACCCCAGTAATTTTGGGTAAGGCATCTGGACAAGGGGTAACACAGGGAAGGAACTCTCTGCTACATGCTTTGAGGCATATTGACGCTTCTTAAAGATAACCATGGTCTTATCTGTCACACAAGAGGAATACCCAAACTTTAGTTTAGTGTTCAGCAAGTTGGGAGAAGGGAAAGGCTGTGAGTGCCCCTTTGGAAAAGGGTCAGAGGAAAGCTGGACACAAGACTGCTCATGGGCTACAGCCTGCTCCCTGCCCTGAGATGCCTCTAAGAAAATGTTTGCTCACTCATTGTTTGTTTAATAAAATCTTCAGACCATTCATTTATTTAAGCTTTACATCAAAATTACCCGGAATTGCTTTAAACAACAATATTTTGTCCATAAGTGAAAGGAGAAGGTAACTGTGATGTGTCCCACAGGGACCATCACTCACCTCCAAGGCTGGTGAGGAAAGAGAGGGGATGCAGATTTGGGGAACCCAAGCAGCTTCTGAGGAGAGACCACAGATGGATTTAACATCCATTATCTTTCTTATCGTAAACAGATGGCCCAATCCCAACAGTAAGGGAGTGCATCAGTTTTCAGAATTAGGATCTGCGTGCCAAAATAAAATTCACACTTCCCATAAAAAGGAAAACAGTGACAGCATCCTCAGAGATTTCCCCTCCTCACCCAGCCTGTGGAAAATGGATGGAAATTATAGGAAATAGGCAGCAGGAACAGTTCATCTCCCTCCAGCCCCCTGGATCTAGCAGAGCCAAAAAGCTGAGCATCACCCACTGATAACAACTCAGACTGGCTCTGCAGGAGCTGAGGATGAAAAGCACAGCCAGGAAAAGCCCAGGTCCTGCACTAAACACAGGGCAGCTGGGGAATGATTTGGGCACTGCTGAGACCCCTCCCAACACCAGCACTTGGCCCCAGACCCCCAGAGAGGCCCAGGGCAGAGGGTGAGAGAGGAGGCAGCTGTGGTGTTCTGGCTCCTGCTTGTTTTCAGTTTATGGCCCAGATGTACTGTCCCAGCTCCCTGGAGCCTGCTGTGCCATGCAGGTGGAACCTGGATGGACAGCAGGGAAAAGAGGATAAAGTAGGCACAAAGTGTGTGGTGGCCATAACACAGATGATGAAATACAATCATGCTTGCATAAGAATGGTGCATGTTCCAGTAGGTATAACAATGAATTAAGGCTGCAATGAAAATACATAAATTCTCTTCTTTTTAATGTTTTTGGGGTTTTTTAATATTTTAATTTCATTAACTTCTGATGGCTTGGGAGCCATTCTTATACACTTCCAAATGCCATAAAGTCATTTATGCACCACTGGAAATTATTTTAGATATTCAGGCCCATGATATTACAAACTGCAAGTTGATGACCAAACCATAGCTTTGGAATCAAATTTAAATTGGCCATTTTAGCACAAAGCTACACAGTTTTGTTATGGCAAATGCATAGAGGAGTTATTCTCCATTGTAAAGCAAATTGTATTTTGTTTATCTAGTGTTTAAATGTCCAGTGTTAAAGGAATACAAAAAAAAAAAAAAAAACAAGAAGAATGCAGAGGTAACAAACTAAGCAACATCACACAGCATTTCCCTCCAGTATGATGATTTTAAAGCAGTTTTTTCATCCATTTTCAGACACGTTCTAGCCTTCCACTGCAAACTGTTCATATTTGAATTCATCTTTCTTAGCTATGGCTAATTAACACTGGAGACAGTATTGCAGATGAGGTCTAAGTAGTACCCTGTAAAACAGCATGAACTCTCCCTCATCCTTACTGAAAGTAACTTGTCAGAGGCATTTTTCGATTGCCATTGCCTTTTGACAGCACTGGCCAGTCTCAGTTGTCCCATGGCCAACACCCTCAGATCCTTCTCAGCATCAGTCATCCCTAGAAAATGATCTCTCACTGTAGAGCAAGAAAGTGATAATAGTCCCCAAGCCCAAGCCCATTTACCTTTTCTACTATAAAATTTCATTCCACTTCTATTACTTTTCCCCCTGAGGTAGTGCAGTTCTCCCTCCCATGACAGCCTTATGCTCTTTACACCAGTGACTCCTCATGGTGCCAACAGCAAGTTTTGTTTGGGCCCTTTTTGGTCACTCACATGCCAATGTCCCTGAAATAAATATTGAAATAAATATTGAAATCAATATTAAAGTAAATATTAAAAAAATAAAATTAAATTAAACCAGACCTGGTCTCTATTGCACTGCTTTATTAACAGCCACAAAACCAGAGTCCATTCCTTTAACAAGGATGTTGAACAAGAAAAGGGCTTAGCCAAGTACAGACATCCCAGACATCCCTACAAGGGCCCCCTGGCCATTTCAGATCCTTCTGGGATCCAACCCTTACAAATCCAACCAGGGCAACATCACCAGTGCTGGGGGTGGACCCAGCAGCATCAACCCCACCTGGCTGCCAAGAGCAGGGCCAACCCCCTTGGGAGCAGTCAGAGAAGGAAACAGAGGCAGGGCATAGGTCCTCCAGGGGGTGAACACATCAGCTTTTCATTGTGATCATCTCCAACTCATCTTGCCACTGGCTTGAAATGCCCACGTGCAGGTGAAGCATCTTCATCCTCCAGCTCTCTCCCTGGTCATGTAATGCACACACTTTAATCTGAAGGAAGCCCAAGTAAGTGAAACTCTTCTGGCCTTGACTTTTATTCTGAGCACCCCATGCAGGTTTTCTGAAAAAGGACTGTTATAAAGATTTTCCAAAGAAATTGGGGTCACCTGCTGCAGTGAACTGAACATAATTGGAAGTACTGTAGATATCCTCTGTTTGGAAATGCATTGCGTGTGGATATGGCTGGTTCAGTTTTATACGTGTTTCTGGCTTGGCATGCTATTTTTAAGAGCTGTAAATGGAGCAGGTCCTGCCCCCCTCCTTCCTCCCTCTCCTCCTACTCACTGATTTCTCATCTTAAATTAAATTGGGTACAAACACTGTGACAAATAATTTTCTCTCTACATTATAAGAAGATAGGCATAGACAGAAGTTCAGAAACATACAGCATGGAGCATCTTTACAAGATAAGATCAGCACTGTGGCTTTCTGTCACAGGGTTTGCCTTTAAAAATTGTAATCATCAGCTTAGAATGTTTATCGTCCTGTGAGAGGGATACTCTTACCACTGCCTACGAAGAGAGATATCTGTGATAAAAGATTGTCTTTATGTTTATCAGAACCTTTTAATTGCCCACAGCAGGCAATCCTTGAGGATCTACACTGTGGTCCTTACAAGCATTTATACCAAGAAAGAAAGATGTCACTATCATTTGAGATGTACATGCTAAAGAGGAGGCATCTCCTTCAGTCTGAATTTAAAAGTGGAACCAAAAGGCTGCTGTCTTCCCCAGTTTCCTGTGTCCTCACAGGAGAGAGGAGCTAGAAAGCAAATATCCCTGCCCTGCTGGCTTTTGCTGTTTTCTGCTTCTTGCACTACTGAGGCAAGTCCAGCAGTCTTGGTTTGTTGGATCAGGAGACTGATAACTGCAGAGCAGGCACCCCTCTTGTCTCCCCCAGCCTTTCAGGAGTGTCAGCCCCAAAACAATTTGCAGAAGCTGACAGTTCCAACTTACTGATTTAGCCCAAACTCAAGTCTTTCTAACTTGTGCCAGATATTGCCTGTTTTGCAGAGCCAGATGCCAGCTGGAAATGGGATGTCCCAAACTCCACAAGTAAACGCTCTCCTTGTGCGATTTTGTACAGAAAAAAAGCACTTTGAGGTGCAGAGAGTGCTCCAGGTGTCTTTAGAGCACAGGTTGAGGTGATTTGGTATCATTATTGCTATAAATCAGACCTTCCAAGCAGCTGCCATTTCTTTATAGCCCTCCCCTGAATCCTTGACACTTTTTCTTCCATTTATCAGAGGTCTCAGGACTATTGCCATGCTTGGTCCAAGTGGTCAAGAAAAAAATTCAGGGTCTTACAGTCCATTTCATCATGGAGAAGAAATTGATTAGGGCATCAGATAATTTGGAGATAACTGTGCACCTTCTCAAGGAAAGGCAAAGTCCCCTTTTCTACCACTTTATGAGATCTGAAAAACATACACCCAAGTCTCCTTTCTGAAAGTGCCTCCCAGGGCCTTTCTTTGGGCCAGACTCACTTTGCCCACCTGGGCAGTGCTGGTTCAATAACCACTGCCTGCCTGTGATGTCTGTGTGCCACCCAAGCAGCCCAGCTCTCCACAGAATTGAAATGTAAGTCCACTGTTCTGGCCACTGGGGCTCCAGTTGCACACATCTCTGGACTGAACAGGGCTGAGGCTCCTTCCTGGCCTGTGGAGACGACCATTAATTCAGCTGCCTGCTCTAAGGTGCTCCAGAACATCTTGCAGCCAAGGACAATGATTTTTCCCACCATTTTGACCCAATCTGCAGCAACGTCCATGGTGAATTTCTCCAAAGCCACATGGCAAGGGAACGGCAATCCCTGGCTCTGTAACTTTCAGCCAG